CCGTTTTTGGACCAAGAGAAGCGAAAATGCGGGCGCAGACGTTGCATGACCGTGCCGTCTTGAATGTGGAAGTCAACATCGCGCCGTTTAGCACCGGAGAAAGACGAAAAAGAAATCGCGGAGATAAGTGAGTCTTGTCTGCGATCTGTTTTATGCCCCAGATACGAGGCTGTATCGTCTCGCCGGGAGTAGCTAACCTTCGATCTGTAGACGAATTCTTGAACTCGCTGCGTCCATTAAATCGACTTTCGAGCCGGTCGTGCAAACAGCTCTTTATCCACGGTCGCAGATCGACATCTACGTGCACGTCTTACAGCAGGATGGCGGACTACTACAAGCTAGTATCAACGCGGCTACTCTCGCACTGGTTGGCGCAGGCATACCCCTTCTCGACCTAGTCTGTGCCGTTACTGGTGGTGTACACTCGACATCACCCATGCTAGATCTTACGACCCTCGAAGAAAACGACATACCCCATTTGACAGTGGCCGTCATGCCCAAAACGGGCAATGTTACCCTAGTCACGATGGAAACCCGCCTGCATGTCGACCGCTTCGGCGACATCTTCAAACTCACTTGCGATGCCGCGCAAGTGATTCACCAAGAAATGAAGAGGGCTGCGTATGCACGCACTCGACGGCTGGTGGACGCGATGGACGTTGACTCCAAGTCGATCCTTTTGACAGGCGATAATGTAGACAAAGACACTGCGATGAATGAATTAGAATGAAGTACAAGCCATCGTCGTGTGGCCTTCGCTACTTCGGGGCGTTACCTTCAAGGTTGATGAAGTCCATCACGTAAGTTAGCCTCGTGTGGTTGGCCTGAACCCTTTCCTGGACTACTAATTCGTAAACAGAGTGGCGGCATCAAAAACAGCTGCAGAGAATCGGCCACGCTATCGATTGCCGAGTCGGCTGGCAGTATTTAATACAGGTCGCGCTCCCGTGGCGACGCAAGACATCCCTCACTGGTACATCATTTTCTTACCACCCTTGCACGCATACGACATGCTGCACGCTCTTAACATCAAGCCATTCGACCTGCAACCTGTCTATACATCATGGACGGACGCTCCGAGATTCAATGGCAAGGAGAAGAAAGACTTCACCGTCGCGTCATGGCTGGCCAAGATCGAAGAAGGGTGCAAATTACATCGGGTACCGAAGGCCCTATGGCCCGAGGTTGCGCAACATTACATGGGCGAGAAAGCTACCAGGCGATTCAAGAAGGTCGCAGAAGTCATGACTCAGATGCACGGAAATAGCTACATATGGTCATGGAAGCGGTTCAGGACGGCGATGGAGAATGCGCATTGTAAGCTTCTCAGTACCCTTTCTGTGGGGGACGATACTTATCGCAGCTGAGCAGGGGACCTGGAAGGGAATAAATGGCTACGACTCGCTGGATCGAAAACAGCATCGATTTTCACGAAGAGCGAGCAGGTGGCCAAAAAAGACCAGTCACCCAAGGCCACAGCCAAACCGTCTGAGACTAAGTCTCTTCTCCAGCGTGCTATGTCGCTGAACGAGAAGTCGGCTGTGGTTCTGACGAAGGAGGCCTCGGATCCTAAACGACCACGACCCGAACGCGCCTCTACGATGTCTCTGTTTTCGAGTCTCACGCAAAGTTCTGCCATGAAGGAACCCACGAATACGCACACGCTCAAGAAGGAACCTCCGAAGGAAAGGGTAGTGCAGAGGTCCATGTCAAGTTTATTGCCTAGATCTAGCACGTCAGGTGCGCTTTTTTATCTATCTGGATAGACCGCTGCTACACATTGACCATGTATCTCACCAGCCGTCGACGGATCTGGCGTCGAGGTGCCCGTATGGCTGCTCCTCGCGTGTGAAGCACTCAAGGACCTCAACGTAGAGTACCCTACAACCATGGGCGTGGTCTCTGCGATTCTTATCACGGTCGGGTCGATTCCTGCCCTTCCTGCCGTGTCGACGGGTGCTGCTGGAGCGTTCCTCGCGAGCGGAACTGCACATGCAATAGGTTCCATCGCTGTGGGGCTCGGAGGGCTGCTCACTGCCCATCAACATGGGACTAAGATATAGTCGATACTACCCCTTGCCCCATGATGTATCATACTGCAGACTCCTAGAGGTCTTAGATGTTTTTTGAACTGAATGGCAAAGTACTTAAGCAGCAAATGAGGGTCGTATCGGTCGTAAACTTGCTGATTACCAGCCAGATAGATCATTAGTTTTCATCCAGGTGCAAGGATTGCATACTTAAGCTGAACCTGCCCGCTGATGAGAAAATCTAGCTCTCTCTTCTGCGACTTCGGGGCCACGTTGCTCCGAATATCTTGAAATAACAAACTGCCGTCATGATACTCTTCCAAAGGAGCAGGACAGCCTTCCGGTAGTACTGAGTATCCTGAGTCTGACTCCTACTGGCCGAATGGTCTGATACATACAGTTTGCATCTTTAATGATAGTAACTGGTGGCGAATTGTTTGACGGAGACCCACGCTTCGTCAAGAACTTTGAGGACCTCCTCGGCTATAGTTTGTGCATTAGTCCGCAATACCTGAAATCGCGAAATTCTGATACTCACGCAATGGTCCCTTCTCGAGGTCGATAAGGTTCTGGGAAGCGTTGTGTCAAGTTTCACTTGAGTGCACTACATAGGCTTAATACGTACTTGCTCGATGTGATTGAGGCTCGATGCACCGATGATAATCGCGTCACCGTGCTCCCGCTTCATCAAGCCGTGATGGGACACCCAGCGAAGGGCGACTTCGGCGATTGTCAAGTTGTGCCTTTGCGCGACAGTTTCAATCGACGCAAGTGCATTGAAGTAGGCATCGTTCCAGTATCGGCTGCGGTAGTTCTGCTCGAGGGATGAGTGCCCCTCTTGAACCAAGGTGACGGTGACGTACTCTACCCTGGCCCTTCGTTGGGTCGAATCGGGAGCCAGGTTCGACGTCGTCGTCAATCGAGCGGTACCTACCTGTGAAGAATCCGCCGCCGACTATCGTTCCAGGCCGTGAGTCGGCGGTCAGACGACAGTCTGAACATGAGACGCACGTGGGTTGAACTCATAGAAGGCGATACCAAACTTCCTCAAGCACGGGAACAACTCCGGTTCAACATTGCGGTGTATCGCGTTGTAGATTCCTTGGTAAGCGGTGGGCTGGATATATCCGTTGGCTTTGCAGATTCCCACCATCTCGGCGACTTCCCAGGACATATAGTTGCTGATACCGAATCGCTTGAACTTGCCCTCCTTGTAGAGCTCGTCCACGGTCTTGAGAGTCTCCTCGTACGGCGTCGTACGGTCTGGGCCATGGAGGTACCACATCTCGATCGACCTAGACGATATCAGTCAATAATTTTTGCCGTGGTATCGACGACATACTCTGCTTTGAGGGCCTTGAGCGAAATATCGAGTTGCTTGCGGAGGTCTTCAGAGCTGTGTGAGATGACGGTTTTGCCCGGGGCACGAAGACGTGCATTCGACTATGCCATCATGGTGTCAGCACCATGTCCAGGATCTACCAGGGGGCTATGGAACTCACGGCGTTGGGGTAGAGCTTAGTGTCCATGAGGAGTCCGCGTTTCTGCCAGTCGACTTCCCCAAGAATTTCCTCGCTTGTACCGGCACAGTAGGTGCGAGCGGTGTCGAGCTAGGAGATGGTTTGTACCTGAGATCATGTGAAAGCATAAATAATCGTGCCTCGTAATGACCATGTGCCTGAAAGACGTCAAGGATGGCAGCAACTTCTTCGACCTTGTGCAAGCGAGCTCCTGCAGTGGGAAGATGGGAGTCCACAACGCGTATAATCACATTCAAACCGCATAACCTACCTTCGGTACCCTCTGCACCGAACGTCATGCAGCCCTGCATGCGATTCATGTCATCCATTACACGGTGCATGCAGAGACTCAGAAATACACTCACCATGACGATGTTCAACGCGGACTTCTGTTCGAGACGCGACATGGTGCGGTAAGTATCTGCGAAGACCACGAGTGAGAGCGCAGAGGCAACCAGGGCGATATGGTATGAGATGGCGTATATATATGCGAGAGATGTATGACGAAACGTGTGAACTGCTGCTGACTGAAGCAATGTACACATGACGCGAACGATCCGAAAGCTGGAACACGGCATGGGATGGGCGGATAACGGCCTGCCTGCTATGATTTGTAGAACACTCTACGCGTCACGTACACGGTACCTCGAGGTCGAAATCGTTGCAGTCATCATATCAGGTTGAATAGCCCGTTGGCGAATCATAAACAGGCTCTGCCATATGTTTGATTACATGGCTTTCAGGTCGCCACTGTCCCTCAAATTTCGATTGCCCTCTTCCCAAAACAACCCGTTACGGCTGTCATCGTTGCGCAATTTGCGTGAATTTGGTGTACAAAGTATAACGCGCAATTACATTAGACTCACCATCGCGTACACCCATCCACGCCTTATATAACAATATGCCTAACGGTACGACAGGACCTCGTTAGCGCGGTGTTCGAGTGAGTCTAGGGTATGTTTACGCACATGGAAAGCAGAATGGTCCACCACAAAGGGCCAGAGTCTCCTCTACGGCTTGATCCTCGCCGTGCTGGGTGGACATGACGAATCGTTACTTGGAGTTGTGGGGACGCGTTCTCGTTGCACTCCCTATATATTGCGACCGTTTTTGCGTCATGGTATAGGCGGTGATGGAAACTTTGCGCTGAAACACGGATATTATCTAGACATGCGCAAATCCTTCAGCTATCACCATGACTGCTACGTCGATGCATCAGTGTTTGATGAGGCGTCGTGCTGCCAGCAACTTGATCCTCAAGGAATGAAGGGATGCAAATCTTCGACGACGTCTGGATACTGATACATAGCGATGGCGAGGAGTCATCCGCATGTTTTCTTACTTGAGAGAGTCAAAAACCAACAAACGGGGAGAGTGAAAAATGGGAGGGCTGTCTAAAGTGCTTGAATGTTGAAAGTGATATGTATTATCTGAAAATAAGATAATACAAGCCCGCCTAGCTCAATCGGATAGAGCGTGAGACTTTTAAGGCGCGGCTATGCAGTCATCCTTGACATCTCAAGGCTGCGGGTTCGACCCCCGCGGTGGGCTAGTAGTTTCTTTTTGCCATACCCACAAGTTCAACATCGTATTCGAATCTGTGACCACGCCACGAATGCCACAATGGACATTTATCAGGAGTTAGGGCTCCAGCTGCTCAGTCTATGTTTACAGTGGACTCGTAAATAAACAGTAAAAAGTGGTAAACTGTCTATAAACTGTTTACGC